TATTAATTTTCAACACCTTCAGAAAATTCAGTTTAAAATAGAATACAAGATCAAATAGAAACCGTATTTATATTTATAACCGTACAATATATATATATATATATATATATATATATATATATATATATATATATATATATATATATATATATATATTTATATATATATATATATATATATATATATATATATATATATATATATATATATATGTATATGTATATATATATATATATATATATATATATATATATATATATATATATATATATATATATATATATATATATATATATATTTAAATATTCATATAAGCATTCACAGTATAGTGATTACATACCTTTTATGCTGTGACGGGCAAGGCTATGTATAAAATGTTTTAAGTCATTAGTTTTTTTCATAGATGGTTTTTGGCGAATCCTTAACGTCATTTACAAGTTTAGCCTTAATAATTGTTGGATTTAACTTATTTCAAATTTGTTAAATAATAATTGTTCGTAAAGTTTCGCAATATTTTTTCAATAATAAATTTAATTTAATTAAGAAACGTAACAACTATAATCTACAGAAGAAAAAGAAATTAACATAATTTTTATTAAATTTGTTGACAAAAGATATTAATTTTTAGCATCTCTAAAAAATTCATATATAAATATATATATATATATATATATATATATATATATATATATATATATATATATATATATATATATATATATATATATATATATACATATATATATATATATATATATATATATATATATATATATATATATATATACATACATATATATATATATATATATATATATATATATATATATATATATATATATATATATATATATATATATATATATATATATATATATATATATATATATATATATATATATATATATATATATATATATATGTATATTTGTATATATATATATACTTATATATATATATATATATATATATATATGATTATAAAATGTTATATAAACAATTATGGCAAATCTTTAACGTCTATATCAATTTTCGCCATAATAATTGTTGGATTCAACTTATTTCAAATTTCTTTAATATTATCTGTTTATAAATTTTTGGACTTTTTTTTAATAATAATGTTATTAAAGGACGATTTTGTACAAAGTAAAAAAAATCAAGTGGTTCTTTTTTAACTCTTTGATCAGAGTTAGATTCGTCTGATAAACTGCATTTAGTGTTGGGAGAAAAGGTAAACCTATCACTAGATTATAATGCGGGTAATAATGAAATATTAATTAGAAGTCCTCGACCAGATTTCGAATTACAATTATGTGGTTGAGATAACTTCTTAAAATTGTTTATATTTTATAAACTCACACTTACTTTTTTTAAACTATCATAACTTTATAATATTTAGTATTTTAGACAGCCTGTTAGTTGTAAACTTTCTAAAGCAGACACTTACATTTCTTCTAATCTGATTGAAAAGTTCACAAGCTCATTTAGTTTTCAACTCTACGTCATCTAAGAATATATATATATATATATATATTTAAATGGACTATAATAACTTTAAACTGAGGTAAAAGGAAAAAAAAAATGATGATCAAGTGTAGAAAAAAGTGTGAAAAAGGAAAAAAGAAAGTTTAACGAAATGCAAAAATAACATTGAGGTCGGAAGTTTGAAGAGAGTTTGAAGTTCTGACTACGAAATAGTTTAGTATAATCAATGCGTCAGATAGTAAAAAACCTCAACTGGCTAAAGGGAAATAAAAACCTTGAAAACGTGATATTGGGAGTTAGATTTTGAGTTTGTTCAACTTTTACTGAAAATGATATTATCATGGCTCCGATTGCATGAAAACGCCTCTAAAATAAATATTTTGGGTAAAAACCTTGACACTTGTGCTTATTTAAACAATTTACAGTTTGTTTTAAAGTTATATAGTAATGTTACACATTTGCTAGAGATCAGCTAAATGACGAATATAAGATAGCAAAAACACTAGTATTGCAAAGTATAAAAGCGACGATGAAGTGCAATTACTTATAATAATTGCTTATGTGGAATTATCAATTACTCATTACTTAAATTTAATGGCTTATCTATAAATAAATATATTCAACATAATCAAACAGATTAGATAATTAATTTGCAAATTAGAAAACAATTAAGAAAAGTAACTACTATAATCTACAGAAGAAAAAGAAATTAACATAATTTTTATTAAATTTGTTGACAAAAGATATTAATTTTCAACACCTTAATAAAGTTCAGTTAAAAACAATATAAAAGATCAAATGGAAACCGTATTTATATTTAAAAAGTTTAAAAATATATTCATATAAGCATTATTAGTATAGTGATTACCTTTAACGCTGTGATGGGCAAGGTAATGTTTAGCTGTGATGGGCAAGGTAACGTTTAGCTGTGATGGGCAAGGTAATGTTTAGCTGTGATGGGCAAGGTAATGTTTAGCTGTGATGGGCAAGGTAATGTTTAAAATGCTTTAAGTCAATAGTTTTTTACATAGTTTTAAATAAAATCACACATTTGAGTTATTAGTTATATAAATGACTTTGGCGATTCTTTAACGTCTTTATTAGTTTTTGTCTTAATAATTGTTGGATTTAACTTATTCTAATTTTCTTTAATATTATCTGTTTGTAAATTTATGCAATTTTTTTAAAATAATGACGTTATTAAAGGTTGCTTTTATACCAAATCAAAAAAATCAAATAGTCCTTTTCATATTCTTTTAATGCAGTTAGATTCGCCTGATAAACTGCATTAAGTGTTAGAAGAAAAGGTAAACCTATCACCAGATTATAATGCGGGTAATAATGAAATATCAAGTAGAAGTCCTCGAACTGATTTCTAATTATAATTATGTAGTTGTGATAATTTCATATTATTATTTATGTTTAATAAATTCACGCAAACTTTTATTTAAAAACATCAATAACTATATATTTTTATTTTTTAGACAGCTTGTTAGATGTACACTTTCTGTAACAGGACACCTAGGGCCTATCCTATAAAGCGAATTTATAGTGTAAACTTTTACAATGTAACTACAATGAAAACATCGTATATATGTAGAATTTTATAATTATGTAAACTACAATTTTACACAGCTCGAGAGCTATATATAGTTGTATTTTACATTAAATTTTATTGATTAAAAAATGTAAATTGATTTTCAAAGCTAATAATTATAAGTTAGATGCTGAAATAGTATTATTTTGTTCGATTTAACTATTTTCAATTAAGTTATTTATTTATTTATTTAGGTAGAGTTAATAAAGTTTGAGTAACAAATGTTTCTTAATATAAATACGTTAGAAAGATACTTAAAGATGCACATTTTATATTTAGTTTTTAATTTTATATAGATTTTAGTATTTTTGAGAAGTGTTTCAAGTTTTAATTACTATTTTTTGATTTTTTTTAAATAAATTTTAAATATCCTAATGCTCAATTGACTCAAATTAAAGAGTTATTTAAAAACTTAATTGGGTCTTGTCGTGTATTTTTTTTTAAGTGCAGCCACATATTATGCTAAGTTATTTACAGTGCTGTCGGAAAAGTTCAGAGTCCGATTCTGAAGTAGAAGATATCTTGGATTTTTAAGTCAGACAACCTTGGCAGGTAAAAACCAATAAATAGTATTTTGTTTTTTTATTAATTTTATAAATATGATTTATTTAGTTAAAATGTAAGGCCAATGCTGTAGTATATAATGATCAAGTCAGCACAAAGTCTCTCTCACTTTATATATATATATATATATATATATAATATATATATATATATATATATATATATATATATATATATATATATATATATATATATATATATATATATATATATATATATATATATATATATATACTACTGATGATTTTTTGAAAGGCCTCTAGTGCTAAAATATTAAAACTTATAATTAGTGTAATTTTTGTAAAATTAAAAGAAGAAAATATTTTGTTTATTGTGTATTTTGTTGACTAACTTTTTTTACTTATTGGTTATAAACATATTTCAAGTTATATATATATATATATATATATATATATATATATATATATATATATATATATATATATATATATATATATATATATATATATATATATATATTTATACATATATAAATATATATATATATACATATATATATAATATATATATATATATATATATATATATATATATATATATATATATATATATATATATATATATATATATATATATATATATATATATATATATAAAGAAAGAGAACTGTATATAGTGCTATGTTCAGCTCTGGATGCCTTTGCGGAAATGCTCAAATATGACTTAAAGCATCCAACAAAAAGGAACAAAAGCGTATTGCCAGGAGATCGAATCAAAGTCTTTCTCTGTTTTCTGGGTATATATTATTACTTATTAAGGATGGCCTAACTTTACTTCTTTAAATTTTTATAAGTTTAAATGTCAAGATTATTTTCAATTCTTGAACGACTAGAGATAGTGTAGTTTTTGTAACTTAATTTAGTATGCTAGGTTTTTGTGTGGATGGAAATATTATCGGCTCATTTCAAATTAGCTTACTTAAATTATGCGCTCCAGTTGAACTTCTGAAATTTGAATCTGCAAGGTGTCTCAAAATATGTTAGATTTAAATTCTTTTTGAAATATAGAATTTCAATCCTAAATATTAAATCCCAGTTTATTAGATTTGACACAAAAATTCCACTACACTTTTGATTAAGACTCAGCCGTTCATTAGATCAGGAAAAAATTCCCATTCCTCCTTGTATAAAACACCTTAGAGTTAATAAAATATTTTTAAAAAACATTAGAGTAATAAAATGTTTTTAAAAAACCTTAAATATCCGATCAACTCTGATTTCAAAAGAATCCCAATCTGCCGATTCATGTAATACCTATAATCAAAGACTTATTAGTTGGATAAATAATAAATTAGCTAAATGTCATTTGCTTCTCATACTCATCATTAAAACAAAAACATACCCTAGAGCCATGCCACCTGCTTAATCTTAGTCTTCTTCAATGCGCGGTACTCATTATCTGAAACGATAGTACACAATTGCGTTTTTTTTTGTAGGAACCTAAAAACATTAATAATAGCATTGAATAAATTTCAGTAATCAAAAAGCTACCTATATTTAGTAACTAGTTGACATACAACTAGCTAGAGTAATATTGCCTGGGGACAAAAGAATAACACATAAGTATAGCAAATGTTAAATTATTAATATCTTACAGAACTTTTAACAGAGCTTGTTGAGACAACCGATTTATTATTTGCAATTGATCTTGCAGCTAAAGCTAGTGGAACTGTTTCAAAAGGCATTTTAGCGATGGACTTTACGCTAGGTGATGGATGAACTGGCAGGCCAGCGTTTGATATATTAGAGTCTTGCTCAATTAAGATTTCTATAAATAAAAATTTGTTTTAACTTTAAGTAAAAACACTTTAATATTTAGTTTTTGCACAGATACTTCATTTATCGAACACTTACTTATTCTTTTAGTATCCTAAGAAAAAACTAGTTTTTAAGCAATAAAAAACTACCTGAGTCCACAGGGATGTCTACAAAGTAATTTGAAGCTATTTCTTCGTTTGGGATGAAGTCGCTGGTGAGTTTGTTGATCAAAACCTTCTTTCCAACTCTCATGTCATTAACGTTGACTGGGAAAATATATGGCGATTCTCTTCTAATGGTATCCAATATAGCGCCTTCATAGTCTGATAGCTGGCCACCTTCAGCACCCGATTTTTTTAGCCTCTTAAACTTTTTCATGGTTGATCTTCTCAGCTTTTGCCATTCAGTTGTACGAATATGCTCAGCAGTGACATCAGAAGAAAGACCATGAGCTACAACAAGGGTTTTAACTTCTTCCCATTTTTCTTTTCGATATTTATTACTGCACGATGGAGAAAGAAAATCGATCATTTTCTTTTTGTTTTCGAAAATAAAATTAGCCAGAACAGTTTTCTGTTCATTTGTTCGCATATCCTGAAAAAAAGAGCTAAAATAATGCTTTGATTGTTTTCGTCTCATGTTACATATAAAACAGCTAAAACAACTTTCAGACAAAAAACTAACTATTTAGTTAGTTTTTTGTCTGAAATACTAAAAACTAATTCATTCATTAACTATAATTCCATCCCCGTAACGACAGACGCTTGCGTTATCTTATTATTAGATAAGCTAAATAAAAATTTACTTTTCAAAGAAACTGATATTTATAAATATATTTGCAAAAAACATGAGTTTACCAAAGCAATATCGTTTTAATGTTAAAATCAAAAGTTAATAAAAATCGGAAAAATTTTAATTTGCTTTTTGCGGAATCTATTTTTAGGTTTAACATCAAAACGCCTACATTACATTTAAATGTTATTGTTTTATAGGACGCGTTAAAATTTACAATGTAACTACACTATTTTCAGTGAAGTTACACAGTTTACGGCATAATTACATTGTAAATTTTACAATATTGTAAACGCTTTATAGGATGGTTAGCGATCTTTAACACCCGTCGAAAGTAGGTAGCAAAGTTTTTAAAAAACACAGACCTAGAATAGTTTTTTCATCGTTATGCGTACCCTAGGGAAACAACCTACTTTTGATGAATGTTACTTTTGCAAAACAACGCGACGTACTGAAACTTTTTAAGTAAAATTTTGATTTATGTCTAAGCATTTAAAATGTATTATGTGTTAGTTGTTTTTGATAATAATATTTATATAAACATAGTAACTAAATAATATGCAGTTACTTAAAAATAAAGTTAAATTAGTTTCTTAATTAAAAAAAATAAAAATAAATAAATATATATATATATATATATATATATATATATATATATATATATATATATATATATATATATATATATATATATATATATATATATATATATATATATATATATATATATATATATATATTTATATATATATATATATATATATATATATATATATATATATATATTTATATATATATATATATATATATATATATATATATATATATATATATATATATATATATATATATATATATATATATATATATAAAGTATAATTAAATAGAAAAAATACAACTTTATAATGGAACTAAAAGTTTCATGCCTATCGGCAATCTTCAGCCATATATATTCAGGTTATACGCTTCACATCTTCTAATTATTTTTCAATTAACCACAGGATTTTTATCACTATCTCTTTAGTTTCAAACCTCCTTTGACAGCTATATATATATATGGTATATATGATATATATGGCCATATCATATATATGGCTCAAGATTGCCGGTAGGCATGAAACTTTTAGTTCCATTATAAAGTTGTATTTTTTAATTATACTGTTTAATTATACTTTATATATATATATATATATATTGATCTATATTTTGTAAAAATTGCTTTTACATTATATTGATCACTCTCAAGTAAACAAGAGGATTTGTATCTCAACCAATAAACAACAACAGATGCAATAATAAACAACAATTTATATATATAAACATATATATATATATATATATATATATATATATATATATATATATATATATATATATATATATATATATATATATATATATATATATATATATATATATATATATATATATATAATATATATATATATATATATATATATATATATATATATATATATATATATATATATATATATATATATATATATATATATATATATATATATATATATATATATATATATATATATATATATATATATAGGTACCCTCATACGCGTCCTTTTTTTATTTTGACATCGCTTTTATAAAGTTTCTGGATTTCCGTATTTTTTCAAACTACGCTGTATGCATGAAGGAAAGAGTGTTTAAAAGCTAGCAAAAAAATAAACTGTCAATTTTTATTATATTTTATCGTTTAAAGTGAAGGTTAAACTTGAATATAGTTCTACAATTTTTAAAAAATTGCGAGTTTTTCATTGTTAACGAATCCTGCCAAAATAGTTATATAATTATAATTTTATTTATTATGGTAATTTTTAAGTAAAGATATTAATATACCAATATTAATGCTCATAAATGATTTTGATATGCTCAAATAAATTATTTATAGATCTTTCATTTGATATATAATAACCGATACTTCAAAATATCCTTCATGTTTAAAAAAGTTGCATACACTTGCTATCGACAAATAATTTATCGTTGATAGCGCCATTTTTTTATTATTGTCATTGTTGCTTTTTATTTTTCTTCACTTTTAGATGACTGCAAAGATGACACAAGACTGCAAAACATATTTGTGTTTTAATTAATTCATATAAATGCCAATCGAAGCCTTTGTTAAATTGTGACATTTACAAAATTTTTTTTGAAAATAATTTCATATTATCAAAAACTTGTCTGAAATTAAAAAAACTGAACATTGAACCTACAAATGCATCTGATTTTAAAATATTCACCAACAATATAAGATCCTTGCATAAAAAAATAAAATCATTATTTAACTAGTATTGTTTTAGAAAAAAAAAAAGATAATAGGCTAATTATAGAAACCAAAAAATTAAAAACATATGACCTACCCATAAGAAAATGTGTTTATGCTGCTATTATTAACAATGTGCCTGTAAAAAGTGTCTCATTTTTGTTGAAAAAAATGTCTGAAACGTTACACAACACAGAAATGCAAGAAATACCCCACTCATCCACAGCAAATAGAATGGCATATGAGCCAGGTGTTTTAGCATTGGTTCAGGCTGGTGAGGCACTTTTTTATTGTGAATGTGAAACAATAGTGTTTGATGCAACCACCGTTTCAGATAAACATGTAAACGAGTTTCTTATTAGTACCTATGTTCGTAGTAGATTTCATGTTTTGTTCCATATGGCAGGGATTGTTGTCACATACGAAAGACTTATAAAAACCTTTCTTGAAAAGTAAGTTTTTTTTTAAATGAATATTAAGTTTAATAGAATTCCATGTATAAAAATTTTTTCGTTATTCTAGCAGCACCAAAAATAAAATTTGCCAACTCTTACTTCAAGATATGAGTAATGATATAACGTTTGTGCAACTGCAAGGGTTGGGCCTGATAGGAAAAATAATAACTGGGCCATGGATGAGTCTGGTTTATAAAAATGCAACAGGAAAGAGTAATCTTGAGTTTGTAAGTTTTTAAGGTTTTTTAATAAATTAATAAAGTAATTAAAAAAATGTACATACATTATTTTTTTATTAGGGTGACATTTTCCAGAAAGCAATAAGGAAACTAGCTTACTTCAAAAGTAATCCAGAACCAATTCTTTACACGGATGTGGATATTTTTAGTCAAGTATTAAATGTTAAAGAAGATAAGGTACACCAATCCCTTCGTGTAATAAAAAATAAAAATATTTTGGTAAAGATTTTATCAGCTTTGATAAGCTACACAGAGACAGTTCTCAAAAGACAGATGGCCAGGTATTTGACTGGCAATCTCTCAAATCCATCTAAAGAATTGATAAAAACCACACTATCTGCTCCACCTCATACAATGGAGGCTGAAAGGATCTTGGGCATGCTTGATTTTTTTTTTTGTGTCTTGCTCCTAATGCTACTTTTGGTTTTCTGGATTCTAAAATAAAAGTCAGAGTAAACTAAACATTAATATGCCTTGATGAGAAAACATTGCCAGAACAAGAAGACCTAATTTAATTTGCGATTCGCAGAGGAGCTTTACCGTGTCAAGCCTCTAAAAATTTTAATAATCTTTTGTATGAAGAAATAGGAAAAAGATGCACCAAAGCTAATTTAAAAAAAGAACTTCTGGAAAGAAAGCAACTAGAGAAGGATGTTAAAAGACCAATAACTGAAAATGCCAAAACCACAAATCCTCTTTTTGTTAATATTGATGAAAAACAAAAACAAACTTTAGGAGTAATTTTAAAAAAATGGAAACTTGATTGGGCAGCTCTTAAGCCATAAATGGGAGCTAGATGATGGCAA